GATACTGAAAGGCAATAAATATGGCGACAAAGATCAGTCCGAATAATGTAAATAGTGTACATAATACCTCATCTCGGAAATATAGACAGATACTGAAAGGCCGAAACGTTGTAATAAATATGGCGACAAAAGATGAGGACAATAGTCCGAATAATGTAAATAGTGTGTACATAATACCTCATCTCGGAAATATAGACAGATACTGAAAGGCCGAAACGTTGTAATAAATATGGCGACAAAGATGAGGGACAATACAATAGTCCGAATAATGTAAATAGTGTACATAATACCTCATCTCGGAAATATAGACAGATACTGAAAGGCCGAAACGTTGTAATAAATAAGGCCGAAACTTTGGCGACAAAGATGAGGACAATAGTCCGAATAATGTAAATAGTGTACATAATACCTCATCTCGGAAATATAGACAGATACTGAAAGGCCGAAACCTTGTAATAAATATGGCTACAAAGATGAGGACAATAGTCCGAATAATGTAAATAGTGTACATAATACCTCATCTCGGAAATATAGACAGATACTGAAAGGCCGAAACGTTGTAATAAATATGGCGACAAAGATGAGGACAATAAAATAAATGTGTAATAATACCTCATCTCGGAAATATAGACAGATACTGAAAGGCCGAAACGTTGTAATAAATATGGCGACAAAGATGAGGACAATAGTCCGAATAATGTAAATAGTGTAATACCTCATCTCGATAGACAGATACTGAAAGGCCGAAACGTTGGTAATAAATATGGCGACAAAGATGAGGACAATAGTCCGAATAATGTAAAATAGTGTACATAATACCTCATCTCGGAAATATAGACAGATACTGAAAGGCCGAAACGTTGTAATAAATATGGCGACAAAGATGAGGACAATAGTCCGAATAATGTAAATAGTGTACATAATACCTCATCTCGGAAATATAGACAGATACTGAAAGGCCGAAACGTTGTAATAAATATGGCGACAAAGATGAGGACAATAGTCCGAATAATGTAAATAGTGTAGATAATACCTCATCTCGGAAATATAGACAGATACTGAAAGGCCGAAACGTTGTAATAAATATGGCGACAAAGATGAGGGACAATAGTCCGAATAATGTAAATAGTGTACCCTCATCTCGGAAATATAGACAGATACTGAAAGGCCGAAACGTTGTAATAAATATGGCGACAAAGATGAGGACAATAGTCCGAATAATGTAAATAGTGTACATAATACCTCATCTCGGAAATATAGACAGATACTGAAAGGCCGAAACGTTGTAATAAATATGGCGACAAAGATGAGGACAATAGTCCGAATAATGTAAATAGTGTACATAATACCTCATCTCGGAAATATAGACAGATACTGAAAGGCCGAAACGTTGTAATAAATATGGCGACAAAGATGAGGACAATAGTCCGAATAATGTAAATAGTGTACATAATACCTCATCTCGGAAATATAGACAGATACTGAAAGGCCGAAACGTTGTAATAAATATGGCGACAAAGATGAGGACAATAGTCCGAATAATGTAAATAGTGTACATAATACCTCATCTCAGAAATATAGACAGATACTGAAAGGCCGAAACGTTGCAATAAATATGATGACAAAAATGAGGACAATAGTCCGAATAATGTAAATAGTGTACATAATAATTCATCGCAGAAATATAGACAGATACTGAAAGGCTGAAACGTTGTAATAAATATGGCGACAATGATGAGGACAATAGTCCGAATAATGTAAATAATGTACATAATACCTCATCTCAGAAATATAGACAGATACTGAAAGACCGAAACGTTGTAATAAATATGGCGACAAAGATGAGGACAATAGTCCGAATAATGTAAATAATGTACATAATACCTCATCTCAGAAATATAGACAGATACTGAAAGGCCGAAACGTTGTAATAAATATGGCGACAAAGATGATGACAATAGTCCGAATAATGTAAATAGTGTACATAATACCTCATCTCAGAAATATAGACAGATAATGAAAGGCCGAAACGTTGTAATAAATATGGCGACAAAGATGATGACAATAGTCCGAATAATGTAAATAGTGTACATAATACATCATCTCGGAAATATAGACAGACTCTAGTATGCTTAAATTCAGCAAATTAAGGTACAGAAGAATTACTATGGAAATATTTATAGAAAAGTCACAGCGAAGCTTTATTACGGCGGTGGAAAAGTGATTGAAGGCTAGGTGCCAGGTTAGGACTAATAATATAGCAGATTCTTCGAATTATTTTAAAAGTAATATCTAAACATAAAACAGAAGCACCAGAAGATATTTAACAGTAATATTCAATGCATAGACAAATGGTGGAGTTTTATATGTGTAAGACGGGGGAAAAGTTTTTTTTGCACGATACAGTGAAGCAATATTTGTAGAAGCTGGCTTAGCAATTATTCAATATAAAATTTTTGCTTTAAGTCATCGTTTGCTCGTGACGTCTCAAGGAGTCACTCTGTTGGATTTTAGCATCAGCCATGCTGATGGAAGCCATAAAAAGTTTCTCTTAGAAAGAGAGCAATTTTGTTTTGGTGACCCTAAAATGAACATGCTATTTCTTGCCCCGGTTAACAACGGATAGTAGGTCATATCGTAATGCATTTTTCTCTCTTCTTTTCAGATGTCTCTTATAGGATTTCTGTATTTGCTTCATTCTATCCTCTTCAAATCCTAGCTCGCATCTTGACCTTACAATCAGGCATTTTTATCTTGAAATCGATAGTTGCTTCTTTCTCACTTATCTCTTTTTAATCAGTTCACTGCCACCAATAAGATGAAAACGGGTTACCGGGCGTTAGAAAATATGAGAAAAAAAAACAGGGTTAAGAAAAGAGAATAATAAAAGAAAAGGAATTAAGGAAACAGAAGATAACGATAGACATTGCATATAAATATTTCAGAATCATGGTTGTCTACATCCAAATAGGTCATTCTCGAAGTGGGTAGCACCGATCGTTATGAGAGCACCTGAGAGAAACAAGATAATTATGAGACACAAACTTTAAAACCAATTTCCAGATACTGTTGAGCTTATTAGTTACGATAAAAATCACCCTGGCTTCAGTCACTTTCCCACCGCCATAACGTAGGTTTCATCTGTATTTTCTGTAAATATTTTCATGGTAATTATTTTGTTTTTGTTTTTTTAATCGAATTTACCCCAAGCAAGGCACTAAGACACATGGGGTTACTGGGTGTGAAAGAATTATACAACATAAACATTATTTACTCTTTAAATTATTCGGATTATTGTCCTCATTTTTGTCGCCATATTTATCAGCAACATTTTGTTAGATGCTCCGGCCTTCTTCAGGTGGTTGGAATGTCGAACTGAACCCTTTATTTCATTCCATCCACCTGATGAAGGCCGGAGCGTACAACGGTCGAAACTTTGTGATAAATATGGCGAAAGAGATGAGGACAATAGTCCGAATAATGTAAATAGTGTACATAATACCTCATCTCAGAAATACAGATAGATAAACATTACTCAGTAATAATGAATACAGTAGATGGTGATTGACAAGGCACTTAATCTTTTGAGGAAGTTAGCTGGAAAGCTTGGAGCCAGAAGAGACGTCCATAGGTCAGAAGCGCGACCGAAGTAACTTAGCATAGAACTTACAGATTCATCTAGATATTTCAACTGGAAAATGTTGAGACCTTACCGCCAATCTAGTACTGCGCGTAAAATTATAAATTCCACGTAACCTAGGGGAAAATAATATTAATTTTGAAAATACAAAAAAATGACACAAGGCCAAAAGAAACGATAGGGAAGACTGGCCATTTATCTGTCTTAAACTTAGTTTGCCACAATTACTGACGCAAATATACCACATTATTCTTTACACCAAAACAACATATTCTTACTTACCATTTTTACTACAGCCACCATAATACCTCAGAGTCTCTATTAAGTCCTAAGTAGTTCCCATATGTACAAGGAATACCAAAGAGAAAACATCGTTAGAACAATTACCATGAAAGTATTTATAGAAAAGACAAAGTGAAGCTACGTTAGGGCGTTGGGGAAAGTAACTGACGCCGAGATGGCAGATCAGGAACAATAAGATCGCAGATTCGTCTTTGGATTACATATGAAAATATATAGAAGGACCAATAAGGTGGCAGCAATATTCAAAGCAAAACGAATAGTAGACTTATAAATATGTATGATAGTTTCTGGAGAGAAGAATTTTCTAGCATGACTGAGTGAACCAAATTTCGTAACAGCAGATTTAGCAATTGATTCAATATAATCTTTCCACTTCATGTCAGCGGAAAACATTAGCTCGAGAAGGCTTTTTAGCATATAGTGTTCTTGTAGGTTTCCTTCTGTATCTGCCGTCAACACGGCGTCATCAAAATACCTTAGGTTGTTAAAGAATTAATAAATCCTATTCGGATTTCTATTTCTTTTAAGATAGCCTTGCGCTATAGGCTATATAACACTGTGAGAAGATGCAACATTGCCTGACGCCGCTTTTTTGTTTTTGCTTATTGATCAGGTGGTTTCTTCCCAGTAAATGTTCTGGACACTTCTAATATACTTCCCTAATATATCAACGATGGTTTGTGCCTTATCTAATTCTTTTGCGTAGTCTATAAAACATAGGTGTACGTCTATCGGCATCTCTATTGCTCACTCTGTTATCATTTTTATCTCATTGCTACTTCCTCACAGCGTCCAAAATATAAAATAACCACTTCGTATCTAGTTAGTTCGAACTGATTCTAGAATCGATCTTTGAATGACTTCTTGGCCTCTTCAAATAAAGAGTCGATCATTTGCCGCTGTATCCGCATAATCTTCATTTTATAACAATTTCTTTTCCATTCTTAACACACACATTACGGCCGCATCACGTTGGTAACACCGATTCTCGTTCGATCAGTGAAGTTAAGCTTGAGAATACCAGGTGCTGTAAGTTTGGATGTGTGGGTGGTATGGCTTACGGCCACATCATGTTGGAAACACCGGTTCAGGCACAACCACCGAAGTTAAGCAACGTCGAGCCTGGTCAGTACCTATATTGGTGACCGCTGGGGATACTTGGTGCTATAAGCTTGGATATGCGGACGGTGTAATATTTAACTGCACGGAATTGGAAATCGAAGGGACGAATTCCAGTCGGTTTTGTTGTATTCATTTACACGTTGGAAAAGTATGGATCTACCTCTGTCCCCTCAAGCTATGGGTTAATTAGTAGGACTTTATCAGTAAATCATTATTATCTCCCAAAATATTACAAACTAAAAATAATTTCTGGCATTAAATAACCTGCAGAAGGTTGATAAATTATATAAAAAAAAAAACACAATTCAAACAAATTACAGACCTCATTCAGTATTAATCTTTTCATTATAATCTTGAGTGCCTTTGGTAACAGGTGAGATTTCGTATAATAAACTGTTCGTACGAAAAAAAAAATGCCGCATAATACCTAATATATAAGAAAATTCGATTTGTTAAGCAAGATTTGCTACCATTATTTACGGAGAATGTTTTTGAATCATTTCATTATCGTAAAGGGCTAAAATATTTGTAACGAGCGATATCGTATATTTTTCTCACCTGCTTAAAATTAACGTGGTTTTTAGCACATAATTTTAAAAAAGAAGCAAATCTTGTACATAAAAAGAGAAAAAAGAATCGTTTGTCTATGTATTTCCTACTTAGACTCTAAAAAGCTAATACTTAATGGTAACAAGCAACCAAAGCTTGAACGCTTGGCGTAACACAATCTTCTTACGCATTTTGAACTTGTTCCCTACCTTTACACTGAACTTGTTAAATATCAATAGACCCCAGGATAATAATAAAAACACTAAATATCTATTTACTGCTCTCTCTCTCTCTCTCTCTCTCTCTCTCTAAAACACTAAATATCTATTTACTGCTCTCTCTCTCTCTCTCTCTCTAAAAGATGTCGGTAATATTGAAATTGACCGTTTTCATAGAATAAATATTAGGCAGTCATTGGTGTAAACTTCGAGACGGTTGATAGAAATTTATAATTACAAAATGTTTTTAAGGTAATTAGACTTCGTATGGACACTAGCTGTTATCGCTCTTTCTACTACAGATACAAATTTCCTTCCTAACATTTTGTTTAAGCTATTACGGAAGATTAATATTTTGATTATATCCATTTTCCCTTTTAGTTATATCTGCTAACCATTTTTCTTGGGGATACTGTTGGAAGTCTTCAAGTTTGTTTTTTCTTCTTTTTTTTTTCATTATTCTTTCGCAAAAGTTTCTTTGAATTCGTAGCAACAGTCTATAGGATCTGATGAAAGGTTTCCTCTTTAAGGAATTCAGTTGAAACAATTTTTTGAGTGATTCCAGATAACGGGCCTACGGGAAAATCATACTGAAAACAACGGTTCTCTTTCGAAGTTAAGCAACGTCGAGCGCAGCCAGTAATTAGACTGTGCGCTGCGTGGCAATACTGGATAAACAACATGATTTGGTTTTAAATGACACACAAAGAGTTGATAATATATATATATATATATATATATATATATATATATATATATATATATATCAGAACAATTCAATCAAGAAATCGGTTTGTAAAGTTTTTTATTTATTCAATTTTTTTCTTTGTATTTATTGCAGTAACATATTATCAATATTATTCATTCGGAAATATGAAGCGCTATTATGGACATTAAATATATATATTCGGACTATTGTTTTCATCTTGGTTGTCGTTATCACAACATTTTGGCCGTTTTGCCCACCGGCTTTTCTCAGGTGTATACCAATTTGGTTAACCTACAGGGAATTCTGAACTGAACACTTTATTTAATCTAAGGGGATAGACTATTTGAGATCCACTGCGCATGTCTAGGGATATCGTCTAGTTCTTATCTTATTTAGTATTGTTGCTCGCCTGTTTCCTCTGAGTGCAAGTACACACTTATCGACACAGGGATTGAACTCACAAATGCTATGACAAACTCACAAACTAACGCTTTGTCACGTAGGACGATGGCCTCTTCGATTAAAGGTTTGATTTGTTGATTTCTTTTCTATGATGATACTAGTAGGACGATCTTCTGGGGAACTTGTATGTTGATGTTACCTGGGACAGTGTTAGGAAAAATTGTCTGTTCCTTTTCTCATGAGGCCCAGTGCTCCGATTACTGTTGGTACAGTTTCAGTTATCATTCCCCATATCCTGTTAAACTCGATCTCCAGATCACTGTATGGTACTGCTATGTCAATAGAAGAATAAGGTGGTAGTTGAAGTTTCAAGTGAAACACTCCTGGTGCATACAAGAGAGAGAGAGGTAAGTATATATATATATATATATATATATGTGTATGTGTGTGTGTGTGTGTGTGTGTATTATCAGTAACTGGAAGGGATAATAAAGGAGGATGTAAATCAAAGGAGAGTTCGGTGTAGACTACAAAGCCTTATAATGATCATAAGAAGACGGAGACTTTAATTATCCATTTCGATTATAATTTATTTCGTGAAAACAGAGTTGTTCAACTCTTCAGATCGAAATCTCCTCCGTAAAATATTTTCTCCATTTACGGAGGAGAT